AACTCCTTACTTTGTAAGTCGCCCTGGATAAAAGCATCTGCTAAATGCATAAGCATAAATATGAAAGAGTTGATCACAGGGTGGAGTTTGAGTCAAAGAACAAACAACGAGTGTGCCGTAGTGCTGCAACAGTTAGTTTTACAGCCAACTGCCCTCCGGTTTTTCTACCGAGACAGCTTTGGCATCTCCTGGGCAATACAAGCAGCGAGTTCAGCTGGAAGTAGTGGCAGCGCTGTCATCAAGAATTGTTTCCCTATTTGCCTTCATCTTGGCAGAGCGGAGTCTGTCGGCGGAGCAGTTAAAGGGTAGGAGCGTGTGAAAACACGTCAGGCTACTAATCCTAATGGGAGCTGATGGCTCGCTGTCATACTGGGAAAAAAAAAATAAAGGACCGCGTGGACTTTGAGAGCAGTTGAATCCCAGATCTCAGCTTTCCGGAAACGTGCTATTTTCAGCCGATGAAACGATGCTTTTTAGAAATATAAGAGTGGTGCCTGAAAGGCTTACTCCCCTCTTTTTTTTTTCTCCTTCCTTTATTTCCAAGACTGTAGGGATTTGGGGGGTGCTTGTATTTTATTCCTCTGTTGAGAGGGGCTGAGCCACAGAGGTGAAGAGATGAAGAAGTTTCAGTCTTTACTTCTCTCTCGGCAGCTGTGAGGAGCAACAATTCACTTCCCCACCAACATTCATTTGTACCATAAAACGGCTTCATAAATGTTGTGTTCTGGGTGCAGGCTTGTCGTGAACAAAGTTAATGTTTTTACCTCATTTGTAAATACAGAGATAGATTCCATATAAGTCTTGCTTTTGGTAAAGAAAAGGCGACATAGGTTTGAAATGTGCAGCTTCAGAGAAAATAAATCTAACAACATATTTTCTATCAACATGATGGTGACGAGCTTTTGACAGTTATATAAGTGTTTTGTATTTGCTTTGATCCCTTTTTTCTCAATAAAGCCGTTTATTTGCACCAGACTGAACTGAATCATTGTAAAATGCATCGTAAAAGAGAGACTGGAATATTAGTTTGGGGAAGTTTAATAACACCAGAACCTTCTTTGCTTCTGTGGTTTGTCTTTTTTTTCCCATACTCTTCATAGATTGAAAATAAACTGTCATCTGGATTAAAATAGTCACGCTATCAACCCTAAACACATACCGGATGCCTCCCTGTTTTCCATAGGATCAGAACATTGGACTGTGGTCTCATGGCTCTTATAATCACATGTTGAGGGTTAAAAGTGATGATGAAGGTCCTGACTGAGCATCTGTGTGTGACAGAACGGACTGGCAAACACATGAGTGTGCACTGCGAGCAGAACGAGAAAAATAGAAGACAGAATTTTCACTTGAGAAGGCTTTGCGTAATGATCGAGAAGCAAAACAACATCGCTGGGATCATATAAAATCTTTTATTGGTTAAACTGCATTTTACAGATGTGTTTACTAATACAACATCTAAAAGTGGCCTTCTTATGATACTGTGCTTGGCATGACAATATATGACTGCAGAGTAAACATTGACTTGTTTTTTTTATTTTATAAATGTACTTTAGCTTGGTACGAAGAGTTTGGCAAATTTGTAGAGAAGAATTGGAAAGTGACCAAAGGCACCTAAATGCATTTTCAACTATTCCTTTTCATATAAACCACAGGAGAACACTCGTATTCTGGCATTCTTGAAGAAGAGAGGTGCCTGACTTCTGTTTGCATGTTCAATGCACCTGAAAAAAAAAAAAAACAGACCGTATCTGCGAGTACGCAAACACTGTGGTGTACCCTCAGATGTTTCTTTACATTGTGTGGTAGCTGCACATGACGCATTTATATTGTTCAGATGGAGACAGCGAACTGAAGCTAACAGTGGTCTCTTTATGTAACGAAACAACATCCAAAAAAAACAAGCTGAGTAATAAGTTTCTAAAATGAGATATAATTCCAAAGTCACACTGGACTTCAATTCAGACATTTGTCTCTTCAAATGCGTACAGCAGGGAACCTTTCGTCAGAAATCTCACTTTATGAGATGCAAAGACGTTACTTACTCTAGCACCACCCTTGAATTCCCTTTAAAAAAAAAGAACAATTGTACGTTTGGACTTGTTGCTTCCCTCATCGGCTTTTCATTATAATAATAAAAGGGGAAAAAAAGCAAGTCTCTATATGAACTACTAATCCCAATATGTATGGAAATTACCAGTGCTGAGCAAACATTAGATTAGTACACCCTTATTAAGAAAGCATAATGGAATCACTTTGCTCTCGAATAAAGCAATCAAACATCTTCTAAATTAAACATCCAACATGATGGCAGGACGGGGGAAGAACAAGCTCTGCTTCCACCCAAAAAAAAAATCTGATTGCTATGCATTAGAATGAGGCCGACCCAGTTAACCAACAACACGCTTTCATGTGACAACTGTGAGCAGCAGGGTGTAAATTACCAAAGACAGAGGTCCTTTACTAAAAAGTACACGGATATAAGAACATGGGGATGCAAGAAGAAATAGGCTCAGTTTTTGATTGGCCAAACAAGTGATTCAGGTCTACCTTTTCAATTACCTCTTCTTTTTACCTTTAGTTTTAATAACAAAATGAAATGAGGATCTCAAGTCACTGAAAACCTGTGTTTTGGTTTGTTTTTATTCTTCTGGACCTCTGAAACAGAAGCCTTCTGAGTCTCATACACCTCCTACTCATCCTTTCTTTTGTCTTACCACAACGTCTGATATGCAAGTGTTTCCTCACCCCCCCACATCCACCCCTCTCCCAAACTATTTTAGATTGCAGTGGGGGGATCAGTGCAGTTGTCAGCCTGCCGCAATTTCCTCGCCACTTACATTATTCATGTGTGTTTGCGGGTGAGAGAGAGGAGAGTGAAAAGGTTGAGACGGCCGTTGATGAGAGTCACGGAGCAAACAGAAAGAAAAACATGTCAGCAGTCACAACAACAACGTCACGAATATCACCAGGAACCAGCTCTGACCTCTGTTTCACAGCAAAACATGAAAGACGGACACAATTAGCCTTCGTTTACCCTGAAAGGGGAAAAAAAGGTAACATTTATCACAGCAGCCAAAGTGTGCCATTAAGTACGTTTACAACACCGAAAAAAGAAAAGAAAAAGAATTACAGCCATGGTAAGACCAGACCCTGAACTTTAGAAATGCATGTAAACATAATGGTAAAAAAAAATCTTAGGTCTCAAAGCCAGACTTGGCACATCCAAGTAATTGGGTTGGGGTTTGACTCTTTCCAGCATTTGAACCTCAAACGAGCCTGTACGCCCCACACACGTTCCACTTTTTCTATTTTTTTTTCTTTTTTTTTTGTAAAATCAATCAAATTTCTATCAACACTGTTTAACTCCCAATAAAAATCGTTTTCTTCCTATATTTTTCTGTTATGTTGGTCATATGGTGCAAAACAAACTAAAATAATTAACTCACTGTTTAATATAGAGTATATATTCTAATTGTGATGGCATTTTTGGGCACAGTCTAAGACTTATTTACCCAGTGGGAAAATATTGCATTGTGTTGTATCTTATATGTCAAGTCACTGTTTCTTAAGGCTTTTTTTTCTTCAGTACATTTTGACAAAAATCATTGCGGTAACTTATATGCAACATGTGTGCATTGAATTGCACAAATCCCCTTCTGAATTTTGCTTTAAATGTTCACACTGTTTGCAAAATCTGACATATTTTGGTCATTTAAAAAAAAAATCCCTCTTGTGCACATTTACTTGGACAAATACTGTGCTTAAATTAAATGATAAAACTCTACCTGAACCTATAATTGACCTGGATGTGTGCATTAGCTAAGTCAAACTAATTAGCAAAAGTTGTTTACAGTTCTTTTTTTCTAACCCACACACATCCCGCTTGTGACTGTAATTTTCACTTGAAAGTCTTGGCTTGGTAGTGTTTTAATTTCCCTTTGGGGATAAACAAAATCATCCATCTGTCTATCCGTCTGAAAAAGTTGTCTTGCACGACATGACCGACTATATTGAGAAAGGGTGTCCTTCCTTTCCTTCCTAAATAGATTGTTTTTCCTTTTATAAATGAGTCAGAAAAATATCTCTACCCGTGCAGAATGTTCTACTGAAGCACCCAAATTCTCCTGAACACTCGCCTCTTCCAGTCTGCAAGTTGAAGTAACGGATGTCGGATACTTTGAAAAGCATTAAGATGCACGATAAGAAGAAGAAGGTAGGAGCAGCCGGTGGAACCCAATAATCAAATAACACTGTTAAAAGGCCCTTGGAGACTGAGCACAGATCTGTGTTGGAACGATTTCTTCATAAAGGAAACAGTTTGTTGGTCTTCAAATTTGCTAAAATCTCAGTCATCTTCAATAAGATCTAAATCATTTCTTAAAAAATAGATCTTCCTATTTATAAACTCCCTACAGAACTGCTTTTATTTCTCTAAACCTGTTACATCTATAAACTAACCTAGTACCTTAGTGCTAATCAATCAAATTGCAGGTTTTCAGTACCAAATATCTACAAACCAATGGCCGAGTCAGAGCGGCAATAACAATATGGCATTTTAAAAAAACTCAAATTTGGCAAAGGAAACCTAAGAAGCCTTTTTTTCTGTCCGTCCCCATTTTCTTTGAAATATATAAAGTCAGTCATAAGTTACATCCCTCCAAGAACTAGCTCAACTTTTCCCTAGAGACTCAATTGCCAAAACTTGATTGGCCCACTGCTTTTCCACCACAGTCCACACAAACCATGTGTTTGAAGAAAAAAAAAAAAAAAGTTAAAAAAGTACATAATCACAGCTGGATGCAGCGTAGAGAGGAAAAAAAAGAGGAGCGGTGAAGATTCAGTGCTTTCACACCCGCGCTCTCTCTTTCTGTCTCACTCTGTCATTAATGGGCTGGTTCTGGTGACCTTGCTCTTGCTATTGAGTCACGTTGGGATCCGACGAGCTCCTGACGCTTTTTTTACGCTTCTTCTTGAGCCGGTACACATAAAAGGTTTTGTTCTCGAAGGTTTTGGTGAACAGCGCTGTGTAAGTCGTGCCTTCCGTCTTGACCGCCTCGCAAAAGCGAGGGTGGGCGGCGGGGACGAGGTCCGGGTCGTTCTCTCCCGGCCCATCCATGATCTGACGAGAGAGCAAGCGCATCATCAAAGGCGGCGTGGAGAATGTTAGATCGCGTGTGTATCTAGTGGTTATCATTAAAGCTGAATTTTTTATCAAAGAATCATCGAGAAGCAAAGACAAGTCATCAGCAGCTTTCTATCCGGTCTGATTTCACTTTGCGATGCTCCCAGCTGCTACTGACACAAACTCTGACATGACTGCAGCGTGGCATTGGGAAGGACAGAGCCTTAAGGGGACTTAGGTCTTCGTAAATGCACTGATTTGGGAATATCGATTGCTGTATTGATAAAACGTCAGTCACAGAACGCTTATCTTAAAAGCTAAAAACCAATAAATGTGACATTCATCTTGGTGCACACAGCACCACACAGGGAGAGGGTGAGTTGAATGAATACTTCAAAACCCAAACATGTGACATAAAAACAAAATAAGAACAAACTGTTTTCAATGATGCTCATTTAGGTCAAGATTTCTGTATAAATCACTGTTGTTAGGGAAAACATGCACGGCGACATCATTTATTTTCTCCAAAACTAGTTTTCTGTTATTTGAAAAAACGGTTAAAACTTCAGTCTACACAGTTAAATGATTTGTTACTAGTAATACTAGTAATAATAGTGGCATTCACAAAAGTTTTTTCTTTTGAAAATATTTTTAAAGAGGTTATCAAACTCAAAGTAAATTGAAAATGCCGCAAAAAGAAGACTCGCAGATAAGGAAGGGGGGGCTATTGATCTCTCTGCGGAGGCTGAGAGCTTTCGCCCACAGACGTTGACAGAGGGGACGCGCAGCCAAAACGCGTGAGAGAAATGGCACCCACGTGTCCGTTGGCCAGGTCGAGCAGGTCCCGCAGCCTGCAGCCCCTCCTGTGCCTCCGCTCGTGGCAGATGCTGTTCTCCAGGACCACGTAGTCGGCCCCCGCCGCCCTCAGGATGTCGTGCACTTCCTCTGGGGGCCGGCGGGCGTACACCTGATACACCTGCTCACACACGCAAACGCAAACATAATAAAGAATGGATTACTCTGGGTTTTAACCGAGACGGCTAATTCGGTTTATGCCTCTAAACGGCAATATTGTTGGAAGGAGAGAGCCTCTCCTGGAACTCAATAAACAGGCAAATGTATTTTTGTTTTCTTGGGTGACAGTTTAATAAAGAGTCGGTTTAATTTAAATCAGGACTTGTTTAGTGAAATCCAATGTGAAACGGTACACTTTAGAAAGCGAAAACACACCAGTGTTGAACTTCGGCGGTTTCAATCATATGTAGCAAACAATACTGTTTTCTTTGTACATAATCAGTGGTAGCTGTTTGTTTCATCACTACCCTAGAAAGGAATACAACTCAGATCTGGGTGCACACAGCGGCCACAGTAAGGGTTTTCAGTAGGCATGCTTGTCGTGGAAAGTGTCACTAACTTTTGTTAGAATTGACTTATATTGACTAACTTTAGAGTCTGGCTCTGTTTTACTTTATTACTAGGTTTAGTACTGGATTTCATATAGTTTACGAACAGTTTTGTTTATGTTAAAAATTATACTTCGATATTGAACTCATTTTATGTCTCAAGATGTACTTCAAAATCCCTCTTCTTCTTATGAGATATTAGATACACATCTATCAAATTTCTTATCAGATCCGAGTGGAACCTGCATGGATTGGAAGCTGGCCTGATCATGTCAGATGGCACTGGCCAATAACACTTGGTTGCACTTAGCCTTCCTTCTGTAGGGGGCAGGCCAGTCCAAAAAGATAAATGTCCATCACACCTGGAAACTCTTTTCTGATAGAGATTCTCATTGGCCTTTTGTCTGTCTTGTGCCATACAAACTGAGGACGAACATTGGTTCTGGTAAGTCACGGCATAGGATTTATCTAACAAAAAGAAACTGTAGTATAAATAAACAAAAGAAAGTCCGCTGGCTAATGGCCAAAAGCGTCCCTCAGATAAAGATAAGCCCATAAACAACATCAAAATCCCCAACAGAGCTCTTCTGTGAAGTTCACGGCTGACTTATTCAAACTTGGACAATTAAAGACTGAAACCTCATCAGTTCCAAGCATTTACATGATTACAATGAGGACAAAGTTTAAACCATTCCCACCCGAAATCGTGAAAGAAAAAGTGAGATCATAGTCATATGTGATGGAAATGCCTGGAACCACAGAAACAGCAGGAGCCTGAGGAAAGCGGTTTTATTTACTCTTGACTCGCACCTTTATCTCAGAGTCTATGAGCAGAGAAAAACTGCAGACGAAAAAGTAACATTCAAGGAGGTGGTCTAAAAGAGCCTGTGAACAGCAGATGGTGCAAGGTTGATTATGTCACCAAGATAAAGTGTCTCTACACCTCAGGTGTCGAACTGTTGATTATGCATTTCGGTATATGTTGTCTACACACAAGAGTTTACTTATTGTACCTGCTGATTCTATGTGTGGCGTCCTCAGCCAAGTTCAATCCCTGGTAACTTCTGAAGATTTCTACCACGCATCTCTACTGCAATCGACAATCGAGTTACCTTTTCATAGAACTTATTTGCACTACTAGAAACATATCAAAAGCAACCTTTCTTGTTTACAATACAATTCACTTTCAGGGATTAATAAGGCTGGGTGGCATGGTGGTGTGGTGGTCAACACTATCGTATTACAGCAAGAAGGGATCCTGGTTCGAATCCCCGGGTGACTAAGAGACCCTTTGTGTGGAGTTTGCTTGCTCTCCCCATGTCTGCTTGGTTTCCCTCCGAACACTCCCTAAGAGTGAATGTGTGTGTGATTGTTTGTCTCTGTGTGACCCTGCAATGGACTGGTGTACCCCGCCTCTTTTCTCACAAAAGTGGGAAAGTAATAAGTATAAAATAAAGCTAACATTAAAGAACTACCGTAAGTCACTACATACAACAAAATTAACAAAACTACAGTTAGCAGGTAGGTGTTAACTGCAGGTATACACAATATACTCATTATAATACAATATAGTATCTTGAGTAAAATCTGTCAATGTAATATATTTGCTAAATAGAAGAATGTTGGAAGAGTGAGAAAGTAGCCACATTTTTAACTGAGTGTAAATCTGGATGATTGAATCCAGTCTAGATCACAGAATCTTGATGATTTTAACATAACACTTGGTGATTTCAAGGTGTCCCCCGTTCTCTCTCCATCGAATAAGCAATCAACAAAATATTCCATAGAGGCTTGATTGGTCTGATAGTTTTTAAAATGTCGTATATTACTTGTAAAACATATTCTGCAAAAATGTATTCAGAAAGGAGAAAAAAAAAGTGAACCCGTGTGCTTTTCTTTTCTACAGAAAAACAAATTAATCCTCAAAAAGAACTGGGGGCATCATTAAAGCACAATTTTTTAGTAAAATGCCCTTATGCAGATTGCCTTCCTAAATACACGTACAGATGACAACAAACTCAGAGCCCCCAAAAGTCTTGCACCAGTGTCGCAGATCATTAATGAGCCCCATGCCGTTCCCTGGCCTCGCCGGTGGCTCAGCATGGCTCACCTCCTGCTGAGATGCAAAACATAGACTCAGCTGTCCGATAGAGGACCCTCACATTATTTCCTGCGCATTGTGAGGAAGATGAACACAGAATGAAGAGAGGGCAAAAAACGAATAATGATGCTAATTTCCTTACGCTGTTTGTCACAAGCTCTGTGTGATTTAGGACACGAGGAGGTCGGACAGAAGAACAATCACAGAGGATCCAATACTGAGTATTCATAAAGGAAAATACCACAAGAAAAATGTGACGTGTACGGAATGAGAGAATTATGTAGTTTGTAGAATAAACAGAATAAACCTGAAACGCCACATCATGCTGCTTTGTTAGAACAACCCGCTGCAGCTACACTGGTAGAAACTAAAACCGACAGCATGTCCGGTACACTTACTAAGATGGACTCAACCAAAAGCACTTCCATTTATCTTTTCTTTACAGTAATGCAGCATTTTTTGGCTCCATTTTTTCCCGCACTATATTGATTCCTACTTAATGGATACACATAGTACTCAGTACATCTTCTGATCCAATATTAATTCACAATAGCACTGCAGGTCATAGCACACTGTTCTCTGGTTTCTCAGCTGAGACATTAGCAGGGTTCACAGAGTTAGATGGATGGTGGAGGCAGCAAGGAGATTTGTCTGAGTAAAAAGCACTAACAAGTGCTGGAAAAAAGTCAGGCAACTCTGACAGCTGACTCATGATTTTTTTAATGTGACAGTAGTGTAGTATAGTATAGTATAGTATAGTATAGTATAGTATAGTATAGTATAGTATAGTATAATATAGTATAGTATAGTATAGTATAGTATAGTATAGTATAGTATAGTATAGTATAGTATAGTATAGAGTATAGTATAGTGGTGACTGTCTCTGCCTATCACATGGGAGACTGGGGTTCGATTCCCTGACGCGGATTTTTCAAGTCGCTTTGGATAAAAGCGTTTGCTAAATGCAGAAATGTAAGATTCATGGCAACATAGAGGGTAAAATTGGGGATCTAAAAAACAGATGTCTAATCTGTTATGGCTGCCAATGGAGTTTTTCAGTTATAGGAATACAACAACAAAAAGATTTGACCATTTCATATAGGCACCACAAAGGGAAATGCATCAATAAGAACAGAAAATAGTCAAAAGTTTTAGTTTGTTTTTCCAATTAGTTTTTTTTACCAAGAGGAAAAAAAATCTTGAATCCCTCAAAACAGTGGTATATCACTAGTCATCAGTTGTGAAATTTCGAGTATTCGAGAACACGAGTCACCAGCTGAAGAGTGGAAACTAAAAGTGGACCTTAGGTTAAAAAAAACAACAAAACTCTACTTTACTATAACTCTTATTGTACTATGGTATCAAGCTGGTTTGCTTCTCTCCAACACCAACCATCACATTTCCGTATCACTAAACATGCGTGTCACATCATTCCATTACATAATTATAGTATAGGGGACCTTTTTTTTTTATTTATCATGTTCTTTCAAGCAGCAACCCACCAGATTATCAAACATAGCTCTGTCTTCACAAGGAAGAATCCATGAAATGCAAAGGTTAAGCGTAACCCTCTTTACATGGTTCTGACAGGTGTTTACAATCACACCTCCAATAACCACCGTATATCTACAAACGCATTTCCACTTACTGTGTTTGTTCTATCTTGCAATTCTTTATGTGTGATGCTGGCCCGTAGGCAGCAGTACCTGTCTGGTCCGCTCCCGCAGGTCTTTATCTTCGTAATGTGGGTGGTTGGTGAGAACTCTGCCTGTGCACAGCTTGATGCCAGCCAGGAGCTGCATGCTTCCAGCAAACACCGCCTGCTTGGGGGTCTTTGTGCTGTGGACAAACAGACAAAAGAGCATGTGAGAAGAACACATCATTCACCTCTATAAATATCCCTATTATATAATGAAGAGCTGGGTTTTTTGATGGACTACCGTTTGTTAAAAATCTTTTTGAGCTTAAAAAACAAGAGCTAAAAGGACAAAGGAAAGGATAAGGGAGGAGATGGAAAAAGTTTGAAGGCTATTCACAGATGCATCACCAGAAAACTTCGATTGAATTTCACTCCAGTTTCTTTTCTAGTTTTGCTCTCCAGCCCATGTGTCTTTCCTTCGTAATTTGCTACAATAATGAGGATATACCAATGTTGTTTAAAAGAAAGAGAACAGCTATCTAAATTGAGAGCACCGAGTCAATATTTCTACAGACAAATCAGATAACTCAACAGAAAACGTGGAACACAAATGGGGATACACATACATGGATAAACATTTTTCTCTATCACACAACGGGGTACACTTTGACACATGGTTTGGGGAGCTGGACGTGGAACCACTAACTTTCTCATGAGCAGAGAACTGCTCTTCCCCCTGAGCTGCAGCAAAGTAACCTGCTATGATACACCAAGAATGTGTCCTCACCCTAATTTCTTTATTTTTTGTCCAAGTATTTACACAGGTATGAGTAGAGTAAGAGTCTTCTTTTTTTCCCTTTCCCTTGAAGGTATGTTGACCTGGTGTTTTGCTTAGTTTTGTGTATTTAACGACCCTACATAATAAAGTTCTCTACCAGTTGGATGCAGCCCTGTACGGCCTCGGGAAATGGATCTAAACTGAGATGATAATCAATGTGATCTATAAGTTTGTTGACCTAGCTACTTCAAAGCAGATGCAATGTTTAAACTTTGATTTGAACTTGTTTTTTTTTCCACTATGGAATTTCTAGAAAATAATTCAGTTCAAAAGTGTTAATGCAAATCATCAACTTGTATACATACGTAATGTGTTGTGATATTCCAACATGGGGTCTGTTAACATCAGCCCTGAACACAATGTGCTGATGCATGCTTTGAAAATGTCCTCATCTAAGTAGCTTCTTTTTTTTGGGTTACTTAAAATGCTCTTATGAACACAGATTGTATCAAATGAACACTTCTGTTCCACCTACAAAAAGAGTTAAGATTCCACCTCACCTGCTCATGCATCACCAGAGCTAAGTGCTCCTGAGTGGTAATCATGATGATGACTAATGGTGAGATTCAAAGAGTGATTAGGAGTGTTCTTATAGGCCACATATGCAAGACCCGACATTTTCCGCTCAAGTCTTGTTTCTGATTGAAAGCTATGCAGTTCAATCAAGGATGTTGCACTTTCCATTTTAAGTTTCCCTAAACTACTATGGGATGTATAAGGCACATCCACAAGTGATGATCAGAGACGCTGCATCTAACTTATTCATGGTGGAAGCAAAAATGCTTCTAATTTGGATTATTTAAGAAACGACAGCAAACAGCATGTCTATAAGATGGAGAAGAAGCCAGAAAACAAGGGGAAAAAACAAAGATTTTCACTGAGAGATTGATAGACAAATTAGTAGTGGCGCATGTTTCCTTGGAGCGAATAGATCAATTTGTTTTAATCGCACAGACAGATGGACAAGGATTCACAAAACAGGAGAAGCAGAATAACTGAAACTCCATTAGCGCTGGACTAGACTCTACTGGAGATACATTGTGAGTTAGTAACTTAACCTTTTTTCTTTTTAGGATGTACAAATGAGAGTGGCCCTGCCATAAAAATGTCAGAATGGGTTATATGAACAAGTACTTAAAATAAGCACACTTTATGGCTTTTTAACAGTCTATCCTTTCTGAGTGAGGGCAAAAAGGCCAGAATCATTTTCAGAGGCCGAGCTTAACCCTCTTAACAGTTCTCACTAGACATTAAATCCTATTGGAACAGCTGTTGCTGTTACTGTAGCAGTAAAAAGATTTACATATTTTACTAAAAAATTCAGGCAGACACACTAATTGTAGATTATCTGTTCACTGAATTCAAATCATTTTCAAGAAAAGATCATGCTGCCGAATGTACTCAGTGTTGTGGGGTTATAGATCAAATTCTACTCACAATTATAGATCAAAGGAATCCAGAAAAAAAAAGAATTCACCAATAAGACAATAAATTTAGAAATCACAGAGACATAGAAATTGCGAGCAAAATGTAAACTGGAGATAAAAAACACTACATTTGAAACCAAAACATCTTAAACATCTCATGAATATTTTCTCCAATCGTGACACAAAAAACACTTTTTAACTGCGTGCTGCTAAGGTACATTTGGGTTAATTAACACTAAAGATGCAAACTAAAAGGTGAAGTGGTATGCTGAATACTGAAGTGCTACTACAGGGTCAGGGTGAGCTTTGTTAATTGCAGAACCCTTCAGTCTAGACATGATTTGATGCTGAGGAAAGCTTATCTTTGCTTAAAATAACCATCAGACTCATGTCACCTTCACGCTGTGCTTTCTCTCTTAGTCAGGATGACACTTAGTGAGTGATCTTCTCCTGGCTGACAAAAGTGAGGAATTATTTTGAGAGCAGACTTATACCTAATTCACTTTTGGTCATAGACTTTTTTTGTTTGATGTAGCTAGAAATGCTATTTATTGTGATTACCTCCTATGTAAATAGAATTCTATTGAATGTAGATTGATTTGACAAGTTGAATATCAACTGATACCAGTGTTTTGTTGACATATATGAGCATCTACATAAGAATGAAATATGGTTGATGGTCTTACAGTGAAGCAAAATCATAGAAGTTGATCAAATAAAAGGAACTTGAACTCCAAGGTGCATTTCAGAGTGACAAAGTGTCAGAAATGTTATTTGTAGCCTGGTTCTGTTATATTGAAAATATTGTGCCTTTTTACTTAAGATTATATGATACAAATGAAAATAAAAGAAACCTGTCCTTTTATTTTACTTTACATTCAAATAATTCTTAATTATATTGTTAAAATTAACCTAACCTAGCCTAACCCTGAACCCAACCAACGTGATGCACATTAGGCTGATTCTGCTCATGGTTGAAGTTTTCTCCAAAGATAAATAAACTAGTTTTCCTGTTAAAGATGACTTGATGTATAAACAAGCAAGTGTTTCACTTGGATATGCTGACTTGTACATGGGAGACTGTTCCTGCTCTGATTGGCTCTCCATGCTGAGTAGCCAGATGAGCCCTCCTGAATCTGCAGCAAAACTGCTGTCAAAGCTCTCATTAATAATTTCCACTGCAGCCTTCATAATTCTCAAAAGCACACTGTATATCTTGACCCAGAGGGGGTGGGAGGGATTGGGTATGGATGAGGTGGAGGTGCACGAACAGGAAAACAGGCCAGGGGATGTTTCCGAATAAATTGTAATACACACGACTACAGCGCTGAAAGATTTTCAGGAGAATAGTATTATCAGAGGGCTTCATTGTTTGGTGGATTGCGTACGACGAGTGCTGTTCATGGAAGAATATGAAAAGAGGAGTCGACTGCTTGGCTGCTGTATGTGTGACTCACATGGAGTCATGAAATTCACATCAAAATCAAAGTCTCAGTCCAATTGTAACTTCCAAACTCTTAACATTCAAAATGAAACACATCAAAGCCTCTGGCTGGGAAACACGCTGTGAGGTTTGTTCGCTTCTCTGACAGCAGCCTGCAGTGACCTGCAGCATGCGGGGTGGTGACAGTGCCTGGCCGTGTCTGCGCTAGACTCAGCGGTGGATAACAAACATGTGCCGGGGCTTAAGCCACTCATGTCTATGCCGCACCTGTTAATAAATCCAAAGCCTTGAGTAAATCTTGCCTAACACCGAGTTCCTACCGAGGGAGCGGAAAAAGCAAATTATGACTTAATCTTTTAGTGGTGTTGTTTTAATACAAACACAACTGTGGAAATTTGAGAGAAAGGAGTTGAACTGGGTTCCAGGGGAAACAGAGAGGCAGAGCGTTTGAGTCAGACAGGATTGGGACGTTAAAATCTGCACATTAACAACTATAAATCAAAGCCGGAGGCAATTAAAAAACGAGCCATTTCTATTGATTTATTGGCTGTCCATTTAGAACTGAGTATCAGCCTCCAGCTGAGCCACTGCTGTTATCAAAGAGAAACTCGTGAGTTATGGCTATGTGAATTACAGATAAACTCTTCCCAGCTGCTGTCATGTTATCCTACAACTTAGTTCCTCTAATCAGTAAAGACACAGCTTATGAAAGATTGCCAAGAGAATTATGATAATCCCCTCATCAACCTGTCTTGACTCACATTTCAGTACTGGTAAGAACCAAGGGCATAAATCATTAGCTTATTTGAGGACCATTTTACCTCTGATCTTATATTTTAATCTCAAAGTCCATTTCTATCTAACATCTCTATCCTCTCCAAAATCTCAGACTGAAACCTGATTTCAGATACTATGAAGATGAGACTTAGAAAATCTCCCTATTAAAGACATTTCAGCCTCGTTGAATCAATCAATTTTTTTTTACTTTTCATTTCAATAAAGATCCAAATTACATCCCCTGTGGCTACAATTACCACAAAGAGTCCCTAACAGCTTAACATAAACACACCAGCTGGTCATAAAATATAATGTCTACTATTTGCATGAATCTGTCCTTGTTCTGCCCCTTATCGTTAAACAGTCTGGGGATACGCCATCAACTTTCCACATAATACTGAACGGCCTCGGTTTCAGTCACCTGGAGAATAACCTGTGATATGAGCCCCCTTCCTCATTTGAACACTTTCATCTGGAATGTAATTAGCACAGCAGCAAGAAGCTTAGAGCTCAACCCTGCTCTCAGCTCCAACCAAGGTAACGTTTAGGCAGTCCCCCTAATCCTCAGAGCCTGATGGGATTAGCTGTGAAGGGAAGGGAACCCATGTCACACAGGCACACGGATGCATTCACAATCCGGACCACTCTTCCACTGCCTCAATATCCATTTCCTTAGGTTGCCACTCTGTGATCAGTCTTATTGGATTAGATTAAAGTTAATTCTTTTTAAAATTGAAAATGGTCCACCTGGTGTCATAGCACTGATTGGAATGAAAATTAGAAGCATTAAAGATCACTTAATCAGAGTGTGAGTATTCTTATCTATGGGAAGCACCTAAGGGATTTTTTATATATGTTTTGGTGATCTATCAAAAAGTGATTCCATGATCTATGATCATTTCAAAACAACCCAATCTTGCAAAAGATTTGGTTAAACTCCTTCATACTAATTATCTCTTTTCCAGAAATAATGTGGTCCAGCTCTGCAGTTTCATAGGTCAAAAGACACTTGCATAAAAGAAAAAAGTAGTTAGATACTAATTGCTTCCAAAAAAGGTTGTTTCAAATTTCTTCAAATGAGGCAGCAGCAGACAAAAATTCAGAGCTCTTCCCTGATCCGATTGGCTCCAAGCTCCAAAGAAAAAGGGTACACAATGCTTAACTGTGCCATCAAAGATTCATGAACGTTCTGGAGATTGCAGAAAATGACAGATTCATACCACAGTAAGAAAAGAAAAAACCACAAAAAACAATAGCATTGCAGAACCATTCGCAGCTCGGTTTCGTCTCCCATCAGACTGATGCTCTCAATTGAAAGAGCGGCCCCAGAGACCCGAAGGTGGGTTACAGCTCTGCCAACAGCTGGGTTCTTTCCAGTACTCCCATGTCTTATTCATGGCGACCCATCGGCTCTCATCACTCATCAGTCAGACTCCCCCACACAATAAGCACAACCAGACGCAAACATATACAGACTAATCAGAGGACATCAGGCAAAGTGAAGCTTGATCTACCGAACAGGCTAATCAAATTTGCATCAATATAATGCGCTCTAGATTCGAAAGTGGTGGGTGTACGTGCAAGCATGCGTGTCTCTACCTAATCCAGGTCATGAGCTCCACAGTGTCTGGATCGTAGAACTCCCTCAGTTCCGATAACTCTTCCATTAGTTTAGGCCAGAACTAAGGAGTAGAAAAATAGCAAAAAGGTTAAGGAAAACTTTGTGCTTGCTTTCATTTAAGAAATTTGAGAATCATAGTTACTGGTGCGTCTTAAATATCTCATTATGACACGGAATATAAATGTATATTTGACAGCCATTTACACTACTCAAACTGAAAAATAAATAAAAGTGCAGCACTTGTTTCAGTTTTCTGTAAATATCCACTGGCTGCATATAATTTCCCCACCTTCATTTATGTCATTTACCTTTCTTTTATAGTATTTGTCATTTTTCTAAACAAACTGACCTCGGTTCAGTAATCAGTGTGCCAATACAGCGATAAACATCAACCATCAGCAAGGTGGCATACCTTGTAATAAAGGCAACCAATTATCAGCAGAGGAACAGCATATCTGACAAGCCTCAACTGCAAAAAGAGAGAAAACAAACAACCGTAATGAAATTAGATCATATAAATCTTTGCAAGGTGGACCAAAAATAGTAGTCAAATAGACAAGTACGAAATGAGATAACACAAAAGGAGGATACAGAGCGGCTCTGCTCCCAACTGTCATTTATCTGATCCAAGCTGCAGTCATGTTATGACCACACTGACACCTAGTGGCGGCACTAGCAACATCCTGGGAAGACAATGATTCAGCTTAATGTCGGACCAGGGAATCCTCCAAAGCTTTTAATTGTAAGCAGTTTCACATTCACACACCCAGCAGAGTTAACATAATTAGTCTCAACAGGAAGTCATAATTACACCTAAAACAAAGAACCTAAAAGGAAGTTAGCAACCTGCGGAAATGAGAGTAATGGGATTTTCATCACTTATAATCATAATAATACAAACACTTATTGATTTGTGCAAACTCAGTCCATTATGGTTGAAATACACAAAACGGACAGGCTGATATGAGGCGGGAGGTGGAGGCATAAGCCAGTACCGTGGTCTTAGTGTTGCAGCGTAAAGCATTGAGGAGAAGAGTCCACAACCCAGTCCCACATACGCCATAAGCTGCGACCGCACACATATGGCCAGTCCATATATACTTCATTCTGGAAAAGAGAAAAGAGGCAGAAGGAGGCCGTTTTGAATGGTGTTGGTGTCTTTGTCTCAGTCTTAGGAAAAGTGGTTTCAATGCGACTAGATTTAATATAGTTCGTTCAAGGGCAGTATACTTCAAGTGTTGATCCAAAGCATGTGCATTTACATGCTCTCTGCATCAGACTTCCAAACCAATTCCAAATAAATTTAAACAGTAAAAACTGAACAAAGAAATGAAGTTGCAGAGGCAGAAATGACCTGAAAAGGAGTTGGCAGGTGGAGACAAGGAGCCATGACAAAAGGAGAGCCTAAGAGAAATGTGGCCTCAGAGAAATAAATCTCAATACTTTTTTACTTTTTAATGCAAGGGGCTGTCTGACAGAAACAAATGGCTTTCTGCACTTTTTGGCCTACTCACTATTAATCAGCATTTTAAAGAAAGTGCTGACATCAAATGTGTCAGATTTCACCCCACCTGACTCATACAATGTTAAAAGCTTCAGTTCTAATTTATTTTTCTTCATTAGTGGGAGTTCTGTAGGTGACTTAAATTGGCCACCTTGACAGGAATATAATGTATGAATTGTGCATCATAGCACATTCCATTATGGCTATTCAAAATCCTGCCCACCACAGGTACTAAATTTGCAACACTCCCATACAAAAAGAAAAAAACGCTCCATTTAACTCAGAACAATTCTGGGGGGCTGAGATAGATTTTGTAAAGAATGAGGTTGATCATTTAAACATTTGGTGAAATGTATTATAGGCACTTATGTCATCAAAGGAAAAAAAACAACAACTTTTGAATAAGCTTTTCTAGACTACCGTTGTACTGGTGTAGAAATGTGAGTGATTCTAAAATTACATTCTAACCTCATAGTGCTGAAAGCCAATAGACCATAGAACAGTGAGTGCAACACATTGTAAGCCACATCTGGACGAAAAGGATCCACTTGTCCATTTGAAGCTCCTTTCTTCTCCTCTGCTGAACCCCGTTTAGATCTATTGATTGAAAAAAAGACAGTGATTCAAAAAACAACATTGATACATAAAACATGAAATACAGACACTTGACAGGGGAAGCAGGATGTTAGGTGGGTGGATTCAAAATTATTCAGACTATTCTGATTTAATTAGCCATTCGCACACAAGTGGACATGTAATGATACACAGTCAAAACCATTTCTATCTGCAGTGGAAGGAAATGATGTTCCTCCCACGATTTGGCCTCCTGCACCAAATCAGACGGACACTATCTTCCATTCGAATATAAATAAATCAAATGTCTCTTCCGGCTACGTGAGATGGGATAAACTGGATTAAATTAATTCCCGAACTGGCAAATAGCCCTTTGTTCTATGACGTTAGTATTCCAGCCGTTCAACAGAAGAGGGTGAGTTGAAATGCTAATGTGATTAGTTCAATGCAGGCCCTAACCTTGCACCACAGGCAAATGAGGCTTTGAGATGCAAAAGGTAGAGTATCCTGTTTTCCAGAGCATGAACCAACAAAGACACAAGGATGATTATGACCGGATTAAGTTATAGCCATCTGATAACCATTTTGAGCTCATCTGCCAAGTTTAAAATCCCTTTATCATCTGAAAGGTGTGACTTTATATGTATGTATTCTGCAATATCCTCAACTCCTCTGACTTTCAATCCATAGCGTCAGTCTACCAAAGCCCACGGCCAATTTGGAATTGTAATTACCCAACATGTATCTCTTTGAGTTGTGGGAAGAAGCCTGAGCACCTTAAGCCACCCCTCTACCCTAAAACGGCAAATTCTATCCAGGAACCATCTGTGAGGAGAAAGTTAACCAAGGCAACACATGCCCCTTTCTAACAACTACCTGAATTACTGAAACAATCTGGGGGATAAAAGGCTCAATTGCATAATATCTTAGGCAAATGGTCGTCGGGGTAGATCTGTGTTGACCAGGCAGTCAGCAGTTGCTAAAGCCAATGAGCATCTTTCATGCTGGCGGGGTAAGTGGGCTGCACACCCAGACATTTGGAGTATTTTCACATCTGTGGGCTTTCGATTGAAGCAGTGATTTGGCTGCAGCTGGAGTAAATGGCTGTGTACAGTACGTTGTTGGAAATCTCCTCTTCTGAAGCTGAGATCCGTGCTCAGTTTGACAACATTTATCATTCTCACATTGATGAGTGTCGACACAATAGGCTTAAAAAATATCAACGCCACATTTTACTCATTTTTTACCCTAACACCGTATTAAAGGGGTGTGCTATCATCAATCAAGTTGTTGCCGTTCCCACATTTCCTAAAACCAACATGATAAATGGAGTACATTCAGTGTCTCGTGATTCTATAACCATCATGAGACTGCTTAGTAAAAAGAAGTCTCTGCATCAAAATCAAAATACTCAAGCTTGACTGTTACCATTTGAACAAGGAAGAAGTCCTCTGAAGGAAAATTACAAGGAATATTTATGAGACAATAATTTAATTGCCTAATGACAAAAAACAATCAAACAAGTTATCTTAATATCTACACAGAAAGGTTGAAACTGGTGGCACATTAATAATAACACTTATTGATTTTGCATTTCATTATCAACGCTGATTCTTTTTCAATAGTTGGGACTGTTTAGAGTGGAAATTATTCTTTAATATAGTCATTCTGTTGGGATATTGAATCTGGGCTAATAAACATATTAAATTGTTTTTTTTAAAGGAGGTATAAAACATGCTCTCTGTCTACCACATTCCTTCATTCAACATTCACTCCGGCCATGACATACCTCAGGTTCTGTAGTGCTGCCAGAGCTAGCGTGCCACTCAGCAGCAGAAGGGTGAGAATGTAGGGGTATAACAACAGGGTACCAGCCAGGCGCTCCAGTGTGTCCAGGGGCAGCAGGCCAAAGGCTTCCTCACACAGATATAGACTTGCATCAAAATCCCTGCAAGAGGAGAGATGAAATTAAGAAGGTAGGAGAGGAGGGAACAGAGACACAGAGGAGCACAACAAAGTAAATAGAGGAATGGATAGAAAATATAAAGGAGTGAGTAAAGAGAATTGTATTAATTTTGTTTTTTCAAACTTTTATTTCGCTTGAGGATATATAGCTTATAAAGAGCAGATTTATCAAATTTCTAGGGCAAAAATGTATAATGTATAATGTATAATGTAGAGCACTAATTGTTATTTCAATTCAGTATTGTGAAGTATTTTTTCATAAAGACAAAAATGATAACCTTTGGACCTTATTACATGCTGAAATGAAGTGAATGAAATCACATTTTTTTCTATTTCATCTAATTAAAACTATTTAAAAGTTTAAAAAAATATATGGTTGTTGCTGCTGGCAGGAATAACCTCCAACACTGTTCTCTGCTGTAGCAGAGCTGAAAATGCCTGTGTCAGAACACAAAATTAGGTTTTTCTATCGCTGCAGTGTATAGAGGATAAGCAATATTTTCCACAAAACAACAACTTATGCATTATTCTTTGCATGGTTCACTGAGGTTTGTTGTGTAGTCCTCAACCACATGTATCTTTTCTCAAATGATTTGAAGTGTTTGCTCCAAAGCAACAAAACTGCTGCTTTGTCACATTTAGATGAAATGGCCTTACCAAACAATGGTACAGGGGTGTACCTATCAGAGTTTTGTCCATCACATCATACAACATAGGGACAAGGGGGTGTTTGGGACAGTATTGTAATCGTGATATGGGAAATCAAGGTGACTTGTCTGTTGCCACCGAGGGGAAAGGGATGACAACATTTAGGTACTTGCAAGAATGCCATCCTCTATGCAAAATATGTTTTTTTTTAACTCAGGCTGAGGTTCAGACCTCGCAGAGTTGCAGATATATTAAAGTCCCATCTGGCTTTTCAGTTCACATCTTCAGAATTCTTATGGTGACACCACTGCACCTGCAGCCTTGTGTCAGTTCAGCTTCTCCATCTGCTTCTGCACTTAAATCCGAGACGCATACAAGCTGGAGGGGGAGGCGGAGGAGGCCTCGGTTTGCGTCCCGAAGTGGGGAGAGGTGTTGTCGAAGTTGTGTTACGATCTGGGGCTTACGTGCGGGGTGACATTACAGAGGTGCAACAGAGCCGCTACGGGTAAAAGTGTTGCAGTAAGAAAGAAGGGAGGATGAGAGCCGATCTGAACTGCACCTTTCTAAAAAAGACCTTGAGCTCTATGACTCTGCCCAAGCAACCGTCTGTCTGATCCCCCTTCACCTTTAAAGACTGTGATCTTTTTCATCCCTGAACACACATCTCCTGCACTGTTCTGCTGGAGTTTGCTCTCCAGCTTTGTCTGTATATCTCCTTGCCGTCTTCTTTTTCATCCAACCTAGCACACACGAACCTCTCCTGCAACCCTTCTCAATAAGCTGTTCAGTTTTTTTTCTTAGTGCTGCCATAAACTAACTCTGATCATGATGCAAACACAGAGTCTGTAGAGTCCGAGATGAAGCTCCGGGGGGCCTCCGCAGTTTCTATGAGCACTGCAAGGTCTGACCTGGGTTTGAGCCTTCTGGAACATCGATTCCTTTGGAGAAAACTGCCACATTTCAGTTTTTTTTTAAGTCAAGGTTACTTTTTTATTCTAACTGTACTTTGCACACACCAGCTTCTGTATTTTCCCCTTAACTTTAGTTTGATAAATAATGACTCAGTCTGATGTAATGAGTTGTTCATCTAATTTGAGGTAATTGTATATAAAATATGTTTTTAAATGATCTTCTTATTTATAAATTCTTTACAAAGGAAAGAATAGGTAGTCTCTTTAATACGTGATCCTTGATATTTGAAATGTCACATTACAATTTTCATTACCCCGGTTTCAGCCTTAAAAAGGATTGATTCAGTAATGGGCTTTCAGCTCAAACAGGATTTCTGCACTATAAAACTGAGTGGAAAACTAATCCACAATCAATTCTGGTGATAAGTGTTTTGCTATCAAAGTCTTGTTAGCGGCTTGTACAGAAGCAATAACAAGTCAAAGGCCAATAAGAAAGGAATCGTGAAGGAAAAACACAATATATAAAAATCGAATTTTATCCCTGAACCTCTGGACATGTCACTTTTTTTTGGAAGATACCAACTATTTATTTCAGTACAGTTCTAAAATGACAAAGCAACTTGTAAATAACACAAATTTAAGGGGAATAAATGCAAGCAAGTAGAGATGGTCTTTTTGTAAATCAGTTAATTTACATGTATTGATCGACACAAGCTTATATGTAGATCCATGAAAACCCCATATTCTAACTGCTAACATTTTAATAAGAAGTGTGCTGAGAAAACCTGGATTTTTTTGCATTTTGATCTGAGCAATCACAATGAGATCCGTTTAGAGAGACCTCATATCAATATGAAATAAAGGTGGAAAATATACACAAACAGAAAAGCACTGGAGGTAATAAAAATGGCATTCATTAATTTATGATGTTATACTTGGAAAACCCTAGAAAAGGTTTTATACAGTTTTAAACAATAAGACAAATAAAGAAAGATGTAACAATACAGTATTTGAGCCAGTATTTCTGCAATTCCTAACTTAGTAACTGAGCACTTTCTTTGCAGTCTTAATCAGACAATAAACAAAAAACAAGGCTTGCAAATAAATGCAATATGTGCCTCTAAAATGTAATTAAGAAGAAGTGGAAATGGGTATTAAAAGCCGCTTTGAGGCAGTGGAATATCCAAACGTCTAATTGGCAAGAACAGGGCTTAAAACTTCAGACAACTAAGCAACAATGCAGAAACAAACAATGCCACGCTTACATGAGGAGAGCTAAAAACACATTAACAGTTTTGACAAAACTGAACTGATAGTGTGAATTTAAATATAAATAAGCTGTTTTTTTTGTTTTTTTGTTGTTGCTTTTGATAAACAATCATGCAGATAAATACCTGAATTGAAACTTGAGATAACGCGAGTATAGTGCAAACCTCGAGGGACAAAACAAAGCAGCACGAGGAGAAAGAATATAAGTCAAAGCGAGTGGGAGAAACAGGAACAGGAGGAGAGGCAGACAGAGAGCAGAGTAAACCTTGCATTTTCCACCCTCTCCTGAATAATTGAAGGGCCAGTTGTGAGGCATTGCACCGGGAGCTGTGTTATCTGCCACCCCGGAGCAGCTTTCCTGTGGCTGAGTTGTTAACACACAAACACAACCTGATCGATGGGAGGTCTAGTGGCGTTACCCCGCAATCTATTATTCACACGCACTAACACCGCGGGTGTTGTGACACAAGTGCTTTTTGAATAATGCAGTCACTCCGGGTCAAGTTAAGAGCCTGCCACGGATATGCACGGTACACGGTATATGCAAATGATTCGTGTATGTGTGCGTCAAGACCTGGTTTTTGTAAGATAGATGTCAGACTGATCAATACCAGAACCGTTTTTCCATTCACATCTGCGTGTTTACGTGTTCATACCTCGTCGGCCCCAGGGCAAACTTTGATTTGATGAATTTAAAAATGTGTTCGTCTGAGCTGAGCTGAAGTGCTTTCTGTAAACAAACACACACACACACACACACATGGATAAGGTCATCTTGTCAGTACTAAAGTTCAGCCTCAGATGTAAAAACAACTAAATAACCAAAGCTGTCATAATACAGTGAGGTTGTATCATGAAAGCGAGAGGGGAGGCGAGCTGCAGTAGAAGAAGTAGTGGAAAGAAATAGGAGGAAAATAGGACATTTAGAAGGCAATAAACTGAAAAAAGAGGAGAGAAGGAGAGGAAAAGCAGAGGAGAGAATAGGCTATAATAGGTGTGAAGAAGGATAGGAGGTAAGGCAGTAAGAGAAAAAATACCTTGGTCAAGTAGTTGATGATGAAGGTGAGTAGGAAAACCAGAGCACTGTGGAGAATAATTTTGCCCAGACGCACCAGCAGGCCCCCTGTCTTCAGACTTGACTGCACCAGCACACAGAAATAATGCATTTGTCATGATCTGAATGAACTTTACATTTTTGGCATGTAAGGGTTTTACACTGATAATACCATATTGTAATTATCTACACAGAATCTGGTAGACTGACTGCATAATCAATTTCATTGAAAGTCTTCAAAACATTAAACATAGTTTTAGTCATTAAAACAATACATATCTGTTACCAGTTGTGATACAGATAGTTTTGGTGAAAGATTTAGTTGTCCTGCTGTTTGCTGTTTCTTTTATGCCAAAACTTTAGTCTAAGATTAACAAGAATTCAATCATTAAATTAGCCTTTATCATTTTTATCAACTATACTAAAAAAAAAACAAATTTTCTTATCTTCTTAAGTTATTTTTCCCCCCTTAGACTTAAAAAAAAAAAACTTGTCAAAACTATTAAATTAGTAATAATAAACGTAGTGAATAATTAAATAATTATGCAGAATTTATCCTGGCTGCTTTAAGTTTTAATATTTGGCAATTAATTGTTAATCTCTTCTTTTTTACATCCCTAAATATCAATAACAACCTGCTGTAAGGAAATGGAATTCAAACATCCGGCTGCTGAAATTAATTTATAGATGAATATATTCTATTAGACAGATTTTTTTTTCATTACTCTTTTCATTACTATTATCATTATTATTTACTTCGATAAAGAGAGTGTAGGAAATTAAGATGTTCTTCTTTTCCTTGCAGCTTACACGGAATGAAAATCATTCATAAAGCTTTTGTTTTACCACATTCTATAGTGCTCTCAGATCCTTACCAATGAAGTCATTTTCAAAGATTCTTCCTTTGCATACAAAATCGGTATAACCAGTTTGATGCATTCATAAAAGCAATGACGAACTGAATTACACTGAAACATCTGCACTTAACAATATCTACAACAAGGAGCGCACTAAAGTTCATTTCAAACTTACTTGGCAATGTTTGACGAAAAGTGCGGATACAATAAAGCTCAGCACCAGTGATCCCAATATCATGGAGTTACAGAATTGAAGAAGCCACACACTCAGCAAGCTGCTCACTTGAACAAGGTACAGAGTGGTAACCTAGAGAAAACGCATAGTCCTATATGTTAGTTTGGGTGGCTAATGTGCAATGCAGTGGTGTAAGCCTTTGATTAAACACACCACTTTAACACATAGGTTCTTCATACTCAACACCATCATTGCTGGACTTCAAACATCATGCTGACAGTCAATTCAGTCTTTTAAAAATGCTCTCTGACCTTGAGACCCTTCCACATTCAGAATAGTATTTCAGTAATGTTTGTGCATGCTCGTCCATTATTTAAGGCCGGAAGAAAACCATTTATTATAAAAAACATTCACAATCAACCATAATCCCACATGATTAAAATGGGGGGAAAGGAATAGGTGCTAAAAGGTGTTTTCTCTTCTTACTAAGAGGAAGAATACTTTGAATACTGGCTCCAAATAAGATTTGAACAAAAAGAGTCATTTCAGGTTAAAATATGTTGGTGGCTGATGACTTTTAACTTGAAAGGGTGGACATACAACCGTTCAAGTTTCAGGGCAGATGAATAGTTAACCACCTGATTCTGAGTGTAGAATTGATGTATTGTTACTGTTTAATTCCATGGTGATGAAGAATGTTCTTGTATTACTGCTACTGATGAATTGGTCAGCTTTGAGACATGAGATCTACCAATTACACATGCAGAGACTCCGCTTTGTGGCAAACGGTCACAGTAACTGAGCATATTAGTGCTTAGTGCAAGAGCTGCCCAAAAATGAAAACGATTAGTAATTTTCTCCATTGCGTCTCAGTAGAAAATCTGATCATTTTTAGTTAACAAAACTTGTCCAAAACACTCACTGAAACAACTATATGATTCATAAATCTGTAAACTGAAGACAAAGAAAACGTTTGGTTTATTCACTGTATTATTCACAGCGTTAATCACAGTGGTAAATTCAAATCCTCTGACATGACACCATATGGAAAAGTATGCAATATAATGAATTAGGGTTGTTGTTTAATTTTTCAAAACCTCGAGATTACACTTGATAGTGAACATTTATTGTGAAAATCGTATTTTTACTTGAAAATGTAGTAATTCAGTCCAGCACCACAGCTCGTCTCGTTCCCATACATCAGCTCTGATATAGGGGAATGTGTATATGTATAAACACACTGGCAGACTGTTCCTTTAAATTATCCTTAATTCATTGAATCCACAAATCTTTAAAATCAGTCTTATAATCATCTTGCGTCAAAGAAAGACTGGAAAATACTTTTAAAAGACTGCACTAGACAAGTATTTGGAGGTTAGAGCCATTATGGAGCTCGGTGCCTTGCACTTGTAAAGCATACCTGTGAAGTTGTTAAGAGGTCGACACAGTCCAGGGTGTAAATGATAAGAGCCTGAACAAGTAGAATGAACTGGTTGAACTGCCACGTCAAGCAGAAGCAGAATGTCGTCACATACATCAACCACACCATCACCTTCTGAAGAGGAAAAACAGAAAAGCGCACACACCCACACGGGGTCAGATACTTGAAAAAGGATTCCAATAACAGACTCTGTGATTCAATTTCACCTGAGCCGCGAGTACTTTTAGAGATGGTATATTATTGAGAGAATTAGCTGGGTTGTCCAAGTCAAGGCCAATCCTTGGGGTGAGGATGGTCAATAGCTTTGATCTAGTGTAGCTTTGCTTGTGTACTGTACCTGTTGTAAGGCAGTGAGCTGAGGTCTTAGGTAACACGTGATAGCAGTGATCTGCAGTGCAAAGAAGGGCAAAGACCAGTTCTCTCTAAGCGAGATGGTGAACTCCACTCGAGTGGTATCTATCCTGAAAGGAGGAAGAAAACGAGAATTTTTTTTAAAAAGAGATCCAGACAGTGGAGATGAGTTGAATGCAATGGATGAAAGAAATATTCAACAATCAGTTGTGCCTCGATTATTTTTTCAAGGAATAAAATAAAATGGAATACGTCTTCATGGTCCAAAACAACAAAATAAATTAGTTGGGTTAATTTCAGTGATAGTCATTAAGATAGATGGGATAGAGTAGATACTATCTCATAGATCTCAAAAGTTCAGTGAGCCTTCAGGTTATTGTTCATTTGAATTTACAGAAAAACTGTTTCAAACAATGTTGTTTATTTTTCTTTTTAGAATAAGGCAGACTCTCCATTTCACAGTCAACTTAGGACATCAACAAATCTGACCTATGTATTGATCCAAACAGACAGCACAGGAATTTTCAGCAGGATTTCTCAATATATTTCAACTTTCAGCTTACTTTCAACAACATGCTTGACAGTAAAGCCTTACGAAATCTTACCAAGAAAAAAATAACTAACTCATATATTGAGATCAATGTGTAAACCACCTTTGACTCTCTGCAGAAAGAGGGAGATCAACATATGTAATAGCTCAATATTTATTATTAAAAACACTTACTCAAAGTAAGAGTACTGGTTTTCAAAGAGGCCATCTGGCCAGTTTGATGTAGAAAAGGGGAGAACTATGACATCATCAAAGGCTGTATCCAAGTCAAAAAAGTTTTTTCATCGACCGAGTAACTTCATGAATAGAAGACGAAGCCAATATTTTCTCCGCTCTTGACAACAGTCACATCTCAAACTGTACATTTTATATCACATTTGTTTGAATTGTTCATTTCAGTGACACAGAACTAGAGCACACAAAACACTGTTATGGAATTCCATTAAAAAATCCCAAGAGAAGACAAAAAGCTATTTGAGCTTTTGAGCCTCTATGACAATTTTTCTAAATTGCTATTTATTCATCTTCTTCTTCTTCTGAACCCCAGTAGGCAACTTGGGGTTCAGAGCCTAACCCATGTACCCTTAAACATGTGGCCAGCAAGAACATTGAGTCAAGCCACTGACCCTCCAATCCTGAACCCCAGCCACCCCTGAGCATATTTAAACAAAAATATTTCATGGTGAAAATACCTCACAACCTGCAAAGATGACAGTTGGATCAATGTTCTGAGAAGTGAAAATAAATTCCGGGAAAGTAATAACAAAATTCAGACTATACTTGATGCTATTATACACTATTTTTATATATAATGTCTCCATAAATTATTGATCATTGCATCAGATTAACATTCACTATTGCAAAGTGTGGATTTCTTATTTTAGTTTGATAATTGTGTAGTTTAATTTCATTTTACTGACAATGCCCCACCACCCTTTTTCTTTTTCTTGCTCCTGCTTTACATGGCAATTGCCTTGATGGATTGAAAATAGTTGGCATCACCTTAGAGGAAGGAGTTGAGTCTTTCTTTCTGGCATTTTTACCAACATTTCTAATACACAAACTTACAATCATCCCCTCATGCTGTACATTGCACGTTTGTTTGTTTAGTTATTGAAATTAAAGGCAAAATGGTTTTGATTTTATCTTTGATTTCTCTATGCATACCATATATTTACAGACATTCAGAATTCGCTGGCTCTCAAACAGTATGTCTATAGCATAAACTCAGACCTGGCTTTATGAACAGTAAACCACAAATAAAACCCTTATGGTTGGTTAAAGGGGCTAAATGAGTGCTTGTATCAAATTCAAGATAACACCATCCATGTATTAAGTCCTAAGCCCTATGAGAAAGGAAAATAACTGTCTCCCTCATCCTTACCTCATACAGGGAGACAGAGGGAAACATACAGCCATTACTAACCTGTTGAGAATATACCAGACTCCAGTGAGCAAACCAGCAACCCAAGAATCAGACAGGAGCCACGCTGTGAGGTACAGAGCGATCACATAGACGGCTTGGAGAGAGAACACTGTGTAAATGTAGAAATAAACTGGCTCCAGATATGACTGGACCACATACACACACACACACACACACACACGTACACGAAAAAAAAAACTCATTAGAAAACACATTGTTGACATCAGTAAAAGCAGTTGAATCAGGCACTCTGGAACACAATGACATTTTCAAAGTTTTGTCTGTTCACTTCCTGTCTTTCTTGTCTTTTAGTGAGGAAGCTGAGGGAGTGTAATCACTGATCTAAAGTCAATAGAGAATTCTCACAGTATGAAACAAAAAAGAAAATAAAGCACTCTTCCAAAACAGTCTTCAAACACTCTCCCAAAACAGCCACCATACACAATATCAATATCAATGGATATTATGCCATTAAAATAATAAAAAAAATTCTATGATTATATTAAGTGACTGAGAGAACTAATTCACTACAAATCTGTTTCAATGCAATGGTCCAAAAGAGAGAAAAAAAAGAAGATTGTTGGGGCAATCTTTTGTCAAACAAATGAGTCTTGTGTTACCTGTATAGGCAACAATCTGTAGAGGACACTCAGAAAAACCTCTTGGTAGATGTTCATTCGCTGTAGGAGATTAATCGTCCTCTTGGATTCTGTCAAGTTGTCATGGATCAACTCTGAAAGCCCTACAAAAACACATTGACACAAATGCGCACACTGTAATAAAGATTGCAATATTTCCAGTAATTATGAATGGCTTTGTGACAACTTAAATTGTGCTTTTAAAGGGAGTAATAGTGTGAAAACACTGGCTTCTTCTGTCTATGGTAAAGCGTCTTTAATTATTCATAACACAATAAATCTCTAAACCCATTAGTGTATTCAACTATAGAAAAAAATAAAGAAAAACTAAGCATAGTTGTGTTGTACTGTTAAGATATTGTTAACTTAAGAGGGGAGAAGCAGTCATTTCCCACCGGAAAAATGTCAACGACCAGGAGATATTGCTTTAAAAAAATTCTTCAAATAACAGAAAAAGATTTGAAACTTATTAAAAAATTTCTGTCTTCCGATTATTTATTGTAGGAGGTGAAGCTCATAGTGACGGACCAACAGAGTTATTTCCCTTGCTTTGGTGTGTCAACATCTCTAAACTTGCTGTTTTGGTTTGATTACATACAACTTTTCTGATGTCTCCCCACTGTAATCAGAATGTTTATGGTGATAGCAGGCAGATTTTTTTTTTTTTTTATGCAGACAAAAAAACAAAAACAAATTGACAAGCTGGCAGCTAAAGACATAGATATTTCCCCTGATGTTAGGGTGAAGTGAATAACAGCTGAAAGTTGTGATTCGTTTATGCGGGAGCAAACATGACTCCAGCTGAATATTAATGTTACACCATAACTGCTGGATATGTCAGCGGGGCAACTGTTTCTGTGTCGTTTGAATTATCTGAAAAAAAAAAGCTGGAAATACGTCAGGTATTGTCAGCAGAGTTTATTACTTCTCTTGGAAGTAACGCAATATCTTACCATTGATTTAGTTTGACTGAAATAAAGCGTGACAAGGAAACCGGGAGAGAGGGCTGAGTTTCTGCTGCAGGTTCAGATCTGCCAGCCTGATTTGTGTCGTCTTCATGATCCATGGAAAACCATAAAATACAAGCTTTGTCTGCTTTAATAAACATGTGTCCATTACTGCCCACACATGACCCATTTCATTTAAATATTTTAGTTTTGAAAGGGACGTTTTCCACTCACTTCATTCGAAGCGTATATTTCCATTCAAGCTCAAACCTTTTTTTCTTATTTTGAGGACACTTTTTTATTTTTTTATGATGCATATTAATAGATTTTAGCTCTATCTTTTTCTCAGTAATGATTTTATCTAAAATTTCCAGTTTGCCCATAGTAAAAATATTGCAGCTGGACATTCAATCAGCCAACGAGTAAAAAAACATTTTAATCCAAATTCAATTAACATTCACAAATTCAGGAGTTGGGGGGTACATCTCATTCAAGTGGCATCAATACCAATTCTTTAGCAGAAAAAAAAAAGACTTGTCAGTATTTCTCTAATACACCAGCAAAGACGGAATTCTCTCAAGTTTGTTTTATTGAGTTTTACTGACTCCCTCTTGTTCTTATCTGTGTGAGGCATCATCAAACTGGTGAAGGTAGAATTTTGGAATTGATTTGTTGTGTTGCATCTCTATGCACCTCGAGATGAGATAAGCTACCTCTGGTTGGTCCACCAACTCTACCACTGTGCTCAGACTCACAAGTGTTGCTATAGTGTTTGGCCCATGTGACTCAATAACGAAAATTTACCACAACAAATCCTGTATACATTCAACATATTCATTTATTCATGTTGTTTTGGCTGGCAATCTGCACTATTTGCCTTTCGTCACGTGACAGTAAAGTCATGTGGCAGTAAAGTCACGTGAAGAGTCTTTTTAGTCACCCTTTAAGCACTGAGTGGGTGTCATTGCATACTCATAATGTCATTTATTTTTATTTTCAGTAGTACATTTATGGTAAACTGCTTGTACGATTCCATACTTTTGGTGTCTGATCAAACTTGCCCCAATCCTCTTCTTTTTTCGCTTCATTCTATTTTTCTTATATCCTATTCTTTTTTAGATGCATCTCTCTTTTCTCTCTTTACAAATTGGTTTCTTTCTTCTCATTTTCTTGATTCCTTATGTTTTTTTGCCATTTATTCAATCTAATCAGACACTTAATTTTTCTATCTTTGTCTTTATATGCCTCGAGTGTCTCCTGTGACACAAATACAAGTAAAAAGAGAGTGCAAGAGCAAGGGAGGCCCAAGTGGTTCTCAACTGATTGACCATAGCCCTGTTTAGTTCAAAATTAGGTCAGTTTTTCAACATAGAATTTAACAAGAAGAAGAAGAAGAACAGCAATAATAATAATAAGGATTAAAGTTTAGAGTAGTAATAGTAAATTCATTTATTCCCTTAATAAACTAAACAAGCTAGTGTCTTTAGTCCCAGACTTTGGAACAAACTACCCCCTGACATCCGCACCACTACTGACCTCAGCCTTTTTTTAAAAAAGCTTAAGACCCACTTTTTTAAATTAGCATTTAATTCCGACTAGGGTCTCTTAGGTTTCCTCTTTCTGTTTGCTCCTTTCTACGCACTTCTGGAAGGCTTTTAATGCCCTGCAGCGCTGCACCACTAAAGCATTTTTAGTTGTTTCTGTATGTTTTGTATGTCTTTTTGTATTGTTTTATGGCTTTGTTGTAAAGCACTTTGAGTACCATTTGGGTATTGTAAAGGGCTATACAAATAAACTTGATTGATTGATTGATTGATTGATTGATTGATTGATTGATTGATAGTCTAATAAATGATCTACAGCCATGTAAATATCTTGGTTATAAGAACAGAATAGAGGAATCTCACAAGACAAAAATGTTACAATATGATCCCTATTTAAACCGGCGAGTAGTACGGACTAACATGTCATTGGGTTCATAAGGTGTAATGCCAGGGAAGCTTCAGGAGAATTGCATTTTGTCTTTTAGAGTTGAACAAAGTTCACTCAAAGATATCAATGAGGAATGACGCCTGCAAAAAGCTGTTTTACAAAGTTGACCCATAAATAGCTTGATTTTTTTCCTCCCTCACTAAACCAGTTATTAATTAGGCTGTTCCATTTTTTCTAAAAACACTGACATTGAGTAGGCATGTCATATTAGTTATTTTCTTTGTAAAGACAAAGGTTCTCATAGCCTTCCATCAGCCAATGTCTACTGCTGTTGCTCCTCTATTGCTTTGTTTTGCTAAACCACAAGAGAGTGGTCCACCAAAACTGATAGCCAAGTTTATCAAATAATAACCATGCGGTCATAATAAGGGCAGCAAAATCTCCTGAAATGACCACCAGAATCAGGTTAAAAATATCTTAGCAACAGAACAAGAAATTAAACATCATTGAGTGCATCTAGCTGACTGAGACAAAGATATCCAGAGCATTGTGGTCCTCTGAGAAAGACAGTTTTCTCAAGATATTGACTCCCCCCACTCTCATATTTGACCCAAAAACAACTGGTTTTGACAGGCAGTCTAATAGAAAAACTGGTGTTATTTCATCAATTTAACTGGAAGACACTGGGAATTCAAGATCATTTGTTCTTAAAACCAGTAATGATGTCATCCTGCTGGCAACATAGGTATTGTCAAGAAAACAATATGGACTCCATTCTAAGTAGTCTTTCTTGGGAAGCCTGATATAATTCAGATAGATAGCATCCATCTCACTTTGCATGGGACAGCACTAATGTCCCATGATAAAAAAAAGTAAAAACAAGCATTCATACCAGTGCCTAAAGTTGAGATCCTAACCAAACCTTGGCCTATGCCTGGGAACTGTTCCCAGATTGTCAGATGACCGTCTATCTTCCCTTGAAAGAAAGTCAATAAGACCCGCGCAGTAAATCCATGATTCTGGGGTTCCATGAGTGAGAGTTAGAAGGCCTAACCATGTTTTAGCTGCGCTTTGTTCTTTCCAACATAAGCGTACCGGGGTGAGTTCTGCAGCATTGGAAAAGACTTTATGGAAAGCTTTGAAGCTGAGCTGTCAATGGGCCTTCATAACGTAGATCCCAACTCACTGAGTGAGAAAAAGGTAGAAGAAGTTGAGTAATTCTTTCTTAGTTAGGGCAAAATAAAATTTTCTTTATTTCCTAAACAGTGAAAACATTTTTAATTACACAACTTTTAAGATAAACAAATGTGTTGTTCAGGGATCAGGGAATACTAGAGCTGGATTTTAAGACCTCAATTACCTACACTTATGGTTGATTTCTCTCACTACCAGGTAACAGTGTGGTGGGTAATAGGCACTATTTACTAAGGCAGTAAAGTTCTAACAATAAATCTAGAAACTGCTTCATAGATAAGTTAACAATTTTGCTCAGTAAAAGCAGGGATTTTCTCCCCCAAGATGAGCACTTTTCTCTAAGGCAAAACTCCATGCATGTGGCAGATTACCAGAGCCTTAAAGTGAACATTACACTTGGAATTTGCTGTGTGCCAGAAATTTAAAAAAAAAGGAGGAATACATAACTTTTTTACTTCAACCTTTCATTTCTTTAGGGAAAAAAAATAATCACAACCAATTTAATGCCCTGAGGATCCTCAACCTAAACAGAAACCCACATTTTGGAACTCTGGACAGACACATTTCCACTTCTCAATCTTTAAGAAAAATATATCTCAGAGAACTGAGGTCTTCCAAGGTATCTATTTTCTAACAAAATGTTGCCACATAAAAGTAAAGCCAACTAATATATATTCAAATGACACCATAATTGACACTTCTGTCTCTGGACACAAGATATTCTATCTCAACTTTTACAGCACACACTGTAATTCTTATTTCTATAGATATTTGCTGACAACTTTAACAAAATACTCTATACAGCAATTTCTATTTTTAGAAAAGGCAAAAGTCCATTGTTGGCCACCCATGTAATTTATCTGAGATGGACTGTACTTTTGTTGTCTAACCTACCACTCAAAGTGCCTTTACACGAAAAGCCACATTCAACCATTGACACACACACTCTTATGCACCAGTGGATACACCGGTAAGCAACGTGGTGCTCATTGTCTCTCTCAAGGATTCTTGGACATGTGGCCCTGGGGAGCGTGAAGTAAGAGCATCAACCTTCAAATTGGCAGGCGACTATTTGTCCTCCTGAGCTAAAGCAGCCATTTCTCTGCTTGCTGAGGTCACTGAATGCTTGCAATCTGCTAAGATTCACATATTTTTTTGCTTAAGCCTCAAAAGATAAGACTTTGAGAATAAAGATGAAAAACCATAGCATGAAAAAAAAACTGAAAATTCACGATACCCACAAGAATTCAGTCCATACCTTGTTGTATTGATGGGGCTTGCAACATTTGCTTGTAGTAGGAGTAGTACAGTCCACATTCTGTCCGAAAGGAGATCTCCCGCTCCACTTCCTGAAAGCAAGACGGAGAATATGGTTGTACAAACCCCTGTGCAATATAGAAAATAGATATCTTGGCAAGACATGACAGAAAAAAAAAGAGGGTTGAAGCAAAGCAGCTAATGCGCTAATAATCTTCAGCTGCAAGAGTCGGACAGGTAACTCAGCTGTGGGAATGTCTTCCCAGGAGACATCCTGTTTGCCATGCACGATTACTGTTCTACTGTAGCGTAAGAAGAGAAAGCAAACAGTGAATCACCATCTGTAGAAGATTTAGTCAAACATTCATCCATCATACTCAGTTAGTAAAAAGCTTTGTGACAGTGCCCAACAGAAAAAAAGAGCATTCTTCGACAAAAGCATCTGATTTCTTTGATAAATCCGTTTTATGATCAAAGTAGATCTCATCAAATTGTTTCTGCAGTGCAATTGTCCCTCCATTGATAAATATGGTCCATGTGTTCTCTAAAATCTGGTACTTGTTAAAATCCAAAGCATATTTCTGAGTATTACTATCACAGTTTCTGATATTTTTCCAGTAATAACTTGATGATTGATATCCAAGCTCACCAAAAAAAAAAAAAAAACTTGAAAAGCAAGTTGGGAACACATTCTCTGAGTTATTTCCACTAATGCAGCCGATACAACGATTCAATGGAATGACTAATGGAAAGGATGAAGCCATATGGGTTTTTAAACTGACAAAGTTAAGCTGACAAAGCCACAAATCTAAAAAGAAGCAAAATATATGTTTATTTTTTGTATGAACTTTATCTTCAAGTGAGTACATAGACTGCATCCACAGTGGGGGGTGCACAGACTGCTTGACTGACTTATTAAATGACTTTCCTGCATCAATTACAGGAGGATGATGCTTATCTTTTCAAGATTAATGACCTCGGCAACCTAACAGCATATCTCCGCCTGTGTTCCCGGGCTCTTTGAAGATATCATTAGTCCTAGTTTTAGAGGGTTCTTTAGAAAATGTCTTTTAATACTGGGACTAATAAACACATTAAAGGTCTGCTCATGGTTCTCTAAAAGAAAATCCCTGGCATTCATTCGTATTCAGTTTGAATTATTTAGATAAAACAACATTAAATTCACAGCATCTAATCGCATATGGGGCTTCCATTAGTACGCACTCAGCGCAGTTCAACTTAAATATGTTGAGTTTTTTTGCATTTCCATTAAGGAGCTGGTGCCTCCTGACAGTAACAACGTGACCCACACGGCCAAGGTTACAAGCAAGCCGAGTTGGTCCGATGGCACAAAACAGGCCGCCGAATGGCCGTCAGCAACATGACAGTCATGAAAGGGACTCCTTCACAAGAACTCTGTATATTCTAGAAATGTGGCATTAACTCATTGGCTGCCAAAGGCGTCTATAGACGTCAATTCAAATACAACCGTTGACTGCCAAAGACGTCTATAGACGTCTTTTATGTTTTTCAACGAGAGTGGCTTGGGGGACGATCTGCTAAAGCTTGTCCGTAAATATCGGCTTATAGACAGAGTATGTACTAACAAATTGACCCTCTAGGTGGCAGTGCCACTTTTGATGGGAGATTAGCATAGATTGTAGGCAAATAAGAAAAAAGCAACGGTTCGCTATGAGAGAACATGTCGCCGGTGAGACGCAAGTCGAGGAAGAACGGAATAAGGTAGAAACAAAAAAAAATTCCTGATGAAAGAAGAGAGTCTACTCTTTCTTTTGGTGTGTTCGGTGTTTACATAGTCATAGCACAAACTATTCTGAGGCTCTTGAAAAATCAGTCAAAATGCTCAAAAAAGTATGGCAGTATGGGACTCTTTGTTCTGAAAATGGCTGGCAGTCAATGAGTTAACAATTGTCTGTTGAATTATTTCTGTGATAACCAACGTAAATGCCCAATACCCAAACCAGTCCAACCACACTCAGCCTGTACCCACCAGGATGCCCCTTCGTGTTCTCTCGTGCTTGTATAACAGGCAAATTACATCTTGAGAAGTTTGACCCATTTTTCGGACCTCGCTTGTAATGGAAAACCACCTAAACCGATTTGTTGATTGGCGAGGGCTGAGTGGGTACTAATGGAAAATCCCCATATACGATTGTACTTAATAACTCCATCCTAGCAACGCTGTTACAGTGGTTATGCTGTAATCATCACAACAAACGGTCCTGCAGTAAATAAACAAATGAGGTTTGACTTAAAATTATTCAAACCTCGAAAATATTAACACTGTTGTCTTTGTCGAAATCACTACTGAGTGTAAGTGTTTATTTCAGTCAAAGCATCCATGAAAAGAATAATTCCGCATAAACAAAAACCTCCATTATCTATTGTCTGATGTGGATTTTTGTCCTTAATGCAGCATGGCTCTCACCCAACCCTGCCAGCTCTGATGCTGTGACAGTGACACGTGAGCAGAAACAGGTTGGCTTCCAAGTTTTGAAAAGGGACCAGGAACTCCTACTGCGAGCTGAGATTGGGCAGCTGAAGGATGTGACATGTTGTTGACTGAAGCCTTTGAACTCAGTGACTGTGTGTCGGAGCTCAACTGTTGCGGGCTTGGTTTATTAAATGTTCAGACCGTGTCATTATCAATAATTGAAGTCATAACTCCTACCGTGAGCTGTGAGAACCACAGCAGATTCTCATGTATGGCGTTGACACACCAGGCCTGAGTCACAGCCAGCAGTCCCGCGAGTAACAGCCCCGCTGCCATGGAAACATGCTGTTGCCAAGACCACCAGACTAGAATGTTTGAACAGGGAAAAGTACCGGATAGTCCAAGCTGAGAAGCTCCCCATCTAACCCTCTCTCGTAATCTATCACGCTTCTCCGGCCCCAACACTGTGTTGTTGTTACATCTCCCTTCAGCAGATCCATCTTCTGAAAGCCCAGAATTATTCCGTAGCTTGCTCAGCTTAGCTCTCTTACGAAGCTCCATCCCTTGGGAGAACAGAGATTATTCAAAAATTCCTGAATCCTTTTGATGAGCCATATCCAAGTAGATAAACAGCATGCTCCTGGGTTAATCTATTAAAATGATCCAAATCCATGAATGAAATAAATGTTGGTGTGGTTGCTTTTCTTCACTTGAAGTCACTCCAAATGAATTAAAAGCTATGTAATTGCCGCAAGTTCCTTGCCAGAGGAAAAATTCAAAAAGCTATCTCTGAGGAAAATAGCAGACGGCTTCCTTCCCAATCCTCTTTGCCGGAGGCAAAACAAGCCTTGGCTTCTCATCAACAATTATGAGAAGATGGCTAATCCCCAGTTTCTATTAAGGTCAATAAGCCAAGTCCAAGCAGAAAAGATCACACATTGCTCCCAACCCTGAAAGCTGGCGGACTTCTCAGTAAGCAACAGTCTACTTTTTCTCATGTCTCGCGGTTAGCATGTCCTCTTTATGAATCATTCCTGTGATGAGGTGCTTCAGGTATCCAGGGATAGTTAGTTATTTCCATCTGCTTCATTATATTCAAGGGCAAAATACGGACAGGCCACTGTCCTCCATGAATCTGATCAGAGTTCCTTGCGGATCATCCACTGAGTAGAAACAAGAAAAATAAAATAAAATGACTTACTGAGCCACAGTAAGTCTCTGAACAGCACAGCCTGTGGATAACTGAAGCAGTCGGAGGGAGAGAGAGGGGAAAAAGAGTTGACTACCGGTGACCTCTTGTCTATAAAAACACACGTGCGTACAGGAAAAGAATAAGATCGGATGGGGGTGGGGAACGCTGAGGGGAACATGTTGAAACATCATTCGGAAAAACGCGTGGAACATTTGTCGGAGAGTCAGAGGCGCTCAAACTAGTGTAAAGCTTTAAGCGTACGCCTGAAATAAACCCAGCAAGGCTGCGGGGAAGATATGGACATGACCTAACACCTGATGAATTTAAGAGAACAGACCGAGCCAGCCGGCCATCTGTCTACAAAAGCGGTGGTGATAATAAGCTTTGTCGAACATTACCTCAACGTGGAAGAGAGTGGGGAATGTGAGATTATTAAAAGCAGCCCCCTTTTCTGATAGACAACAGCTTCTACACAGGCTGAACGTGCTGATGGCATTTGTTCATTTCAGGCAGCAGCTGCAAAGTACCAACACCAGGCAGGAAGGATTGCAAAATACAAAAACCCCTTTTCCACCATGTTTCAGAGTCTTTTTCATCCTACTTAACAAGCAGACACTGTCCAGACTATGTGTGTGTGAGAAACATTAGGACATAGAGTTAAGTGAAAGCCTGTGGATCCCTAAAGACAGGAAATTAAATACATCCCATCTGGCTGAGAGAGCCATAGGAAGAGTTTTAAGATCGAAACAGAGCCAGCAACCTTAGCAGCGTATTAGCGGTAAAATGCACCATGTTCTTAAGCTTGCAAAACTCATTTTACTGGATAATCTGAATATTACTCATGTTATGTTTGGATTTAGTTAGTGTCAAAACTTCTGGAAGAAAAATGTGGAACAGGAGACATGGTGGTACAGTTGTCAGTACTGTGGCAGCTGACGTTTTTTCATGATGACCCCAAAGACATGTTGGTTATCAAAATTAAGTATGAAATTGAAATGAAATTGAGTATGAAAGTTGAGTTTAATTAATATTGAGTCTGGTTCATTTTTTGTCACACAAGTTTCTTGTTTTTACTTTGAACTATTTAACCCTCAACAGGATAAAGCTGATGAATAGACAAATGGACCGATTAACATATTAGGTATGGGCTTACAACGTCATGACAGTTTCTATTGCATTACCTATTATATTGTCCGAAAAATGCATCGGTTATCCAGCTCACACAACACATTGAATGTGATAAACTAGTGCTGGACAAGTGTGTGACCCAAAAATCCCTCCACTGCAACATATCAGAATATGGGTCGTGAGCCAGTTATATAACAACTTTCTTTTCATTCAGTTATCTAATATAAATAAGAGATAAGAGAGAATACATTAACATGGATTTACGCGGATCAGCATTTTCTTATAAAAAAAACGAGGAAGAACAGCTTTCAAAGATC